ACCCTCACATTGCTGGCTGAGGTGGTGGAGCCCGGAAGCGCTGCAGAGTCCTCGCTGCTGACCGTCCTGGACTTGCACCATGTGGAGGCTGATGTGACATTCTTCAATACTCTGATGAGGAAGAAGAGCAAGCAGGGCGATCTGGAGGGGGCAAAGGTGAAGGGTCTGGAAGCAGGCACTGGGCTCTGGGCTGGGCTGCCTCCCCCTTCCCTCCTCTGACCATCTGACTGCTGGACCTGGCTCCCTGCCAGGTGTCATCCATTCCTGCCATTGGTGGGCAGACTGTCCCGAGCCCCTGTTCTGGGCCTGGGCTCAGCTGAGAAGCTGGGAATTGAGCGATGAACCAGTCAGTTGCACTCCCTGCCCTCGAGGAACACACAGATTGGTGGGAGGCAGATGCCAAACACATCCTCACACTGACAAGGGACACGGGGGTGGGGGGGGGGTGGCCTGAGAGGCTGGTGGCTCCTGAGTGTCCCTACCCTTCAGCCTCTGACATCACACGTATTCTGCTAGATACTGTTCTAAGAGCTTCACATCCATTTGTTTCTTTCTTGCCCACCTGGTATCTGGCTTTCCCCATTTCACATGTGGGGACACTGGGGCCCTCACGGGATTTTGTTTATTCATATAACATGTTTCTATGTTTTTTGCCAGAGCACTGACCTGGGCACTTGTGAGCATCACAGATGACAAAGATGCAACCTCTGTGTTCAGGCCCACAGTGCTGAGTGCACCTTTCTCTAAATAAGCTAAATGTGACAGAGCCCCTCCCTAGGACCCTCCCTGACCCAGCCAGGCTGACAGGTGTAGTCCTGTCCTCTCCCTTACCCACTGCTCAGGCCCCTCAGCCAGCACTTCCCACACTGTTGTCTACCACCCTGAACCATGAGCCCTCGAGGCCCCTGGTGTTCCATGGACACTGAAGGCCCAAGTGCAGGGATGGAGCAGAGAGGGGCAGGAATATTAAGGGCATTCGGGAGAAGGAACAGCATGTTGGAGACAGGCAAGCTGGGAGGAGGAATGTACGTATAGAGTGGCTAAGCTCTGGGGAGCTGGGCTCTGAGAGGTGGCTGAACAGGACCCTGGGCCTCTAAATGCCCAGCTGAGGCCAGCAGAGGGCGCCTGAGGTCTCTGAGCATTGCTGTCCCGTGCCCCTGGGGTCTCCAGCATCCATCCATGGGCTTTGACAGAGAAGCCTCTCTAGTCAGTCTGGTGGATTACAGCTTACCGTGATGCCATATTTGTCCCCACAGGCACTGCTGCCAGTTCTGGCAAAGAGGGGAATCGTCCCCAACCTGCAGACATTCTGCAATTTGGCCATCGGGTGCCACAGACCAGAGGACGGTCTGCAGCTGCTGGCAGACATGAAGGTGAGCGGGCCCAGGCCTGGGTAGGACCTGTGGTGCTGAGGGGCACTTGTCGGGGGGGGGGGCTCAGGAAGAAAGCTGGGGGCCCTCTCAAACCTCTCAGGACAGGATAAACTGTGTGTGTGGGAGGGGGGCAGGTGGGAGTGGGATTGCTCTACCTTTAAGTGTAGAATGATCATTGGCCTGGTTTGGGAGAAAGTAAACCTGGGGAGCTGCTGCAGGAATGGGTGTGGAGAGCAGGGATGTTACAGTCTTCAAGGTGGTGGCAGTGGGTGAGATTAAGGAGTGGGGACAGGTCTTGGCCTCAACACTGGAGGGATAGAGGGTAGACTGGAGCAGGAATATATCAGAATTCTTGGGGGGCAGGGGCGCAGTAAATCCACAGCCAAGAGCTGGGGAAGAGGTCTCCCGCCTTCAGTTTACTGCCTGAGTCTGTTCATCTCTGAGAGCAGCATTCTTCTAAGCTCTTCAGGGCTGAGAGGGGAAGGTGCTTAGCCATGTGGGTGGACCCGCAGAGTGGGCATGCGTGCTTTCCTTCTGGAGTGGGCAGTACAGCCATTGTTGCTCCGAGGTTCTGCCCTTCTTGTCCCTGGTCACTGGTCTGCAGAGCAGACCTGACTGGCAGAGTAACTTTCCAAGCCAGACATGCTGCAGCAGGCCACTTTGCCCCAATAGTTGCTGTCATCTCCCTGATTGTGTGTGTGATGTTCCAGAAATCCCAGATGACCCCCAACACCCACATCTACAGCACCCTCATCAACGCAGCTCTCAAGAAGCTGGACTACACCTATCTCATCAGTATCCTAAAGGACATGAAGCAGAACAGAGTCCCTGTGAATGAAGTGGTCATCCGCCAGCTGGAGTTTGCCGCCCAGTACCCACCCACCTTTGACAGGGTATGTGCACCAAGCTCTACTGTGCCCAAGGTCTTCTTAACCAATGCCACCACCACCTCTGGTTCTGGCCTTCTGGGATTGGTATGCCCTTGCTTTAAACTTAAAAGTCAGTGGCTTCTCTTAGGAGAAATGACAAACTCCTTAGACCACAGTTTTTGAGTCCCTGTCCATGTGGCCCCTTTCATCTCAGGCCACTCTTCCCTTTGTTCACTCTTCAGTCCCACTAGACTTTCATCCTTTCTAGGTAACAACCAGCCCTTTCCTGCCTTAGGCTTTGTGTATTCTGTATGCCCTGAGCAGGCTCCTGCTTTTCCCATAACTGGCTCCTCATCCTGTCAGTCTCAGCTTAAATGGCTTTCTCAGAGATGCCCTGCGGGCTGCCTCCTTTCCCGTTATGTACAGCACTATTCCTTTTCACCATGCTTCACAGCCTGTAATTACATGTGTACACGTGTGCCTCTTGCTCCTAGAGGTGGAGACGGTCTGCCTTGCTCACCTGGATCCCTGGCGCCTGCCTGTTACCTGATAACCAGTACAGACTGTTGTCAAGTGCATGGGGGTGGCAATAGAGCAGTGACAGGATCTGCTCTGTAATGGCCGCTTCTCTCCCTGCTGTTCTGTGGCTGTCAGGCTCTGGGAGTGGTTTTTAGGCCCACTGAGTCAGATCCTGTGCTGAGCTCCTCCAGAGCAGCTGTGGCCTAGAGGAGCACGATCCCGATGGGGAGGGAGATAAGTCGGCAAGGACACAGCAAACTGTGGGGACACGGGGTCAGGGACAACTGTGCAGGTGTGATGCTTAAGGCTTGGTAAGAATTAGACAGCAGTGGAGAGTATGCCAGGCAGAGGGCAGAGCTGGGTACTTTAAGTCGTGTTCTGATTCCTCAGAGTTCTTTATGTATTCTAGTCTTCTGTTGGTTGCATATTGCAAAAATCCAGCGGATTCTCTCTTCACTGTGTGGTATAGGGTCCACTAAGGGTCTTCTCAGGTTCAGTCAGCCGTCACCAGACTACCATTGGCCTTAAAGCTTACTGTATTCAAATCATATTCATATTCCCTTATGAGGGTGGACGTATTTCTGATTGTCAGGTTTTTGCTTTATTACTTTCAGGCTATATTAGGGACATACAAGTTTAGAATTGTTAAATTTTTTTTTTTTTTAAAGATTTTATTGGGGAATTGGGGGAGGGGAATAGACAAGTTGCTGTCCTTTTGTTCTTCAGTCTAGTTGTGGAGGACGTTGCTTCACTGGCCCATCGGTATTATCATTGGGCTCTTCCTGGCTGAGGCAGTCGCTCGCCGGCCACTGGATGGCCGCTCACAGTGGCTCACGGAAGCTCATGGCAGCTCACGCCAGCTGCTGGCCGCTCACAGTTCACAGCAGCCCACTGCAGCAAGCGCTGCAGCCTACGCCATTGCCGCCGGCAACTCACGGCTGCCCAGCTCCAGGTTGAGCTGTTGTTCACCATCTTAACTGTAGAGGCGCAGCATCACTGGCCCTTATGTGGGATCCGAACCGGGGCCCTGCTGCTCAGAGCTAGTGTCCCAAGCCAACTCAATCAACGTGCCACTTGGCCGGCCCTAGAATTGTTAAATCTTTTGAGTCAATCCATTTATCATCATATGGTCTTTATCTCTGATGCTTTGTCTTCTATTCCTCTACCAGCTTTCTTGGTATCTGCCTAGTACATTTTGTTGGCTCCTTTTCTTTCCACCTCTCTGTAGAGACGACTGCAGCAGTGCTGAGATGAGGGTAATAAAGGAAACAGTGGCTGTGCTGAGGGGGAGGCACTTGTCAGACTGTGGAGGAGTTGGTAGGACCTAGCGATTCTAGTTTGGGGGGCTGGTTTGACATCCCTTCTGGATATAGGAGTTGAGCAACATGTTTAGGAAAGATTGTCAGCAGATGGGAGTCTGGGTCTGCCTCATTGTTCAGCATCTTTGCTTCTCTGTGGTAAACTATTCAGGTATTGAGTAGCTTTTGTGCTCTCCCCTTAACTACCTGGAAAATGAAAGTTTCCCTGAGGCTGGGCCAACTGCCGTGGTCTGGGATTAGCTATAGGGAGTGTGTACTGATTCTAATTGTGGCTCCTTTCAACCCCTGAATCCCATGCTTTTCCAACTACAGTACAAAGGGAAAAACATCTACTTGGAGAAGATCGATGGCTTTAGAGCTTATTATAAGCAGTGGCTGAAAGTGATGCCAGCAGAAGAAACACCCCACCCGTGGCAGAAGTTCCGGACCAAGCCTAAGGGGGACCACGACACTATCCCCAAGGCTGATGTGGACAGAGGCCTTGGGGGCAGGTGATGGGGAGGCCCCGGGGGACCTCCAGCAGAGCTGAAACAAAGTGCACAGCCTTCAAAGTGCTTTGTGGGAGCTCCAGGAGTCCCTTTCATGCTAAAGACACACGAACATTGGTGCAGCCAAAGCATGAGGGAAAGGTCTGGCTAGACTAAAGGGCCGCAGCATTTTGCAGGCATTGGTATGAGGACAAATGCTGGGCCTAGGGTGCCTGACAAGTTCACAGCAGGTCCCAGTGCAGCTTGGGCCACCTTGGCACATCATCTTAGGTTATCCTCACCTGAGAGGTTGTCGTCCCCATCACTGATGAGGAAAATGAACTTGATCAGGGTGTCACAGCACATATGAGGTGGAATCAGTATCAAGTCCTAAGGGCGACTGGTCTCCAGGGCCCCACAGACTGCTGGCTCTGTGAAAGAACAATGCAGGGCTCAGAGATTTAAAAGTTTTATTTTTATAAATCATAGCTGATGAACACCAAAGCCTTTACAAGTAGAGACCAAGTTCCAACTTGGGCCTGGGGTACCACTTCGGCGAGAAGAGCTACTCCCAGGAAAGGGGGTGGCGCAACAGGCAGAAACCTGAAAGTCCGAAGTCCTGGGTGGAGAGGGGTCCAGGCCCAAGGGCCTCAGCCAGAGCAGCCCCGGCAGCCGCAGTGTGTGCACTCAATGATCCGGCCCTGCAACAAAGGACAGCTGAGGCACTGCACCCCACCACATGCCATCCCCCACCCCCACAGAAATCCTCTCGCCGAAAAGGCTGGCAATGGGACAGTCACTCCCTATAGGACACCTCAGAAACTCCTCCGTGACTGTTCTGGATGGCAAAAATCTGGTTTCCTTATGAAGATGGAAACAGCTGTTGATACTAAAGTTACATCTCTGTGCATTTAATTTACGCAAATTCAACATAAACGTTTTTTCCTCTCCAAAAAAGGGTGGAAAATCTGTGAATGACTTGTTATTTTGTGAAGTGAGTATGACATACCCTGCAGTGAGCTGGGGGTGGATCTGCTATTGCTCAGGGCTCAGTGCCAAGGGCTGCAGGGCCTCATCTGGGCAGGGAACTCTCCAGTGAGGCCATGGGAGAAAAAGGGTGTGCACCTGAATCCCTGCAGCAGCAGAACAGTCTTGTCCCTCAGGCCAGGTGTGGCCCAATGTTTGGCCAGGGGCCTGCCCAGCAGACAGAAGACCCCAGAGCAGTAGTTTATATTTCTTTTCCTTTTTTGGAGTAGGACTCTTGTCTAAGCAAACATGATCTGATAAGTTGGGTGAAACCCAACCAAATAAATCTGAAGTAGGCTGTTTTGACCACAGGGCTGGGGCAGCATCCCTACTAGACACTGCCATGGAATCCTGGTGGTCTCAGATGAAAGGGGCTTCTGCTGCTCTGCCATCTGTCTCTGCCCATCCCCCCGCACCCCCCGAAAACTAACACCCAGAGCCTTCCCTTGGGGAGGCAGCCCTTGCTCAGAATGCCTGTCCTTGACCTTCCAGATGATTCAAGGGAGACAGCTATCTACTGAGCTAAAGCCCTTGGCCGAGAGCTGAAGCTCTATAAACTTATTAGTCTTCAGAGTAAAGGGACCCTGTGATGAGACACCTGTGTAAAAGGCCAACCCAGATGATGGGCAATTTGGCCTGACCTCCCAGCTGGGCTCACAATAGTCAGCCAAAGGACTACACTCAAAAGCCCTGAATGGCTGACATCCAGGTGGTAACTTCCCGGCCTCCTCCTACAGCTCCATTTCAGACAGGCTTGTGCCCTGAGCTCAGCTACTGCATACCCAGCACCATTCCCGAGCTGCCCAGTCTAGTCTGGAAAAGAAAGTTCTGACAGATGAAATGCAGTGTAAATAAAGCATCATAGTGAGGAAAAGGAGGCCTGGAAAAAAGGATGGCTGAAGGGTGAGCACTGCTGACCGGCCACCCTTCCCTGATTTAGTCCTCCCAACCACTTCGGGGGTGGGTGTCGTTACTCCCATTTGGTAAGTGAGGCATGGAGTTCAATAGCTTGCCCAACGGTGGAGTTGAGATTGGCCCCAGACCTAGCAAACATGATTAATGCCGAACTACCTAGCATGGATTCCTGAACAGAGGGACTTACTCCCAGGGGGGATGGTCAGCAGCACATCCAGAGACCAAACTAACTATGTTCCAGCCCGCAAAGAGTAAAATCCCTTGGCGTCAACTAAGACAGAAATCTGAACTGAAAATAACATCAAACTCAATTATCAGACATTGTATAGGGATAGAGACATTACCACTTCCAGCTTGCTTTTGGGGACTCGGCAAATGCAATTTGTCCCAAAATTGGTGTCCCGTGTCTGAATGCACCGCAGGCAGCATAAGTTCTCATACCCCTGTTTTTTCCATTTTGCAATCAGGTTTTTGTCTGCATAGCCTTCTTTAATACAATATTCATATAGTTCTGTCAAAAAGATGGGGGAAGGGCATCAGACCAAGGTGTAAGAAAGCTGGCTCCACCCCTGGCCCATCACTACATCATTAAAAAGAAGATGTAGCCAACAGTGTCCCCTCCCCCTTTTTTACTGGTTAAGAAAAATCATGAAACTTGCTGTTAGAGCCATTACTTAAATAAATCAAAACCACTCAGGCTGGAAAGGCCAAGAGCGAATTTAGCCTGTTTACCTCTGCTGATGGCTTTCCGCTTGTAGAAGAGGTCAAAGATATAGCGAGTTTTCTGGTGATGGATTCTGAAAATGGGCCAGAGAGACTCCACTTTCCTCTTCCCCTCATGTGGCTCCGTCTCAGCTGGGGAGAAGGAGGCATTTGTGTTTTGTTTTGGTAGGGTTAATTTGCACATCCTATAATGTTTTATTTTTTAATAACTAGGAATAAAGAATAAATCCTACTTTATACCCACTGGAGTGGCTATAATCAAAATGACAGACTATGACAGGTATTGAGGATGTGGACCAATCGGAATTCTCATACGCTGCGATGGGACTGTAAAATGGAGCAGATGCTGTGAAAACAGTCTGGCGGCTCCTCTGGAAGTTAAACTAGAGTTACCATAGACTTAACAATTCCACTCCTGGATATATACCCAAGAGAACTGGACATATACACGTACACAAAAGCCTATATATGTGTTCACAGCATCATTATTCACAACAGCCAAAAAGAAAAACCCCAGTGTCCATCAACTGATGAACAGCTAAAATGTAACCTAGCCACACAATGGAATATTATTCAGCCATAAAAAAGAAGTACTGACACACACCACAGCCTGGAGGAACCTTGAAAACATTACTCTAAGTGAAAGAAACTAGTGCCCAAAGCCCACCTATTGTATGATTCTATGTCTTTAGAGACAAAGTAGATTACTGGTTGCTTAGAACTTGGAGATATGGGGAAAAGAAGTGGGGAAAATGACCACTAACGGGTATGGGATTTCTTTTGGGGGTGATGAAATGTAAAACTGACTGGGGTGATAGTTGCCCAACTCTGAATATACTGAATACCCCTTAGCTGAATACTTTAAAAGGGGAAACTTTACATAAGATTTATATCTTAATAGAGCTGTTATTTTAAAAAAATAAAATATAAGCCACATGATTTAAACATAATTGTTTTAAATTTAAAATGTCTTTTTAATTAGATAATTAGAAAACAAAGAGTTTAAGCAATTCAGGGCCAGCCGAGTGGCTCAATTGGTTAAGAGCTCACTCAAGAGTGTGAGCTCTGAGCAACAGCAGTTCGAGTCCCGGCCTGAGCTGAGTTGCCACTGAGCTGCCAACAGGTGGCAGGATGGCTCAGCTTAAAAAAAAAAAATCATTCAAAGATAACCTCTGTTAACACCCTGGTCTTTATCCTTCCAGACCTATTTCTACAGCATAATAATTTCTCAAGGTAATTCTGGGCCTACAGATGGGCATCATAATCATCTTTAAGATAACTCTAATTTCATTTCCTAAAGTCCTTTAGGGATAAGAGGGAAAAAAAAGGGACAAGTCTGAAAGTTCATAGCACACGGTCCTACAGGAAATAACTGCTCCACCAATATATAGTGGGTTAGGTAGCAGCTCATACCTGCCACAAGGCAGTTCTTTCTCTCAGCAGTCACAAGTTGATCTTTGTTACCACCCTCCTCTTGGTTTTTAGGACAGAGGAGAAAAGTGAGGAATGGTAAAAAACCTGTATCTCCCTTTCTCCAATTTTGAGGCCATTTTATTACTTAGGATTTATAATTCAGCCCAACAAACAGGATTCTGTGATACAAGCAAAAGGCAGGTGTTGCGGATGCAGCAAATGCACACTGTGAGCCTGCTGGGGGTGAGGCCCTGCTCTGGGTGCCCAAGATACAGCCGTGGGGAAGACAGACAAGCCCCGCAGTGGAGTTCCAGGAGAGGGAAGCAGATTACCACCTGGTGGTTAAGTGGTAATGGCCACAGGGAAAAGGAAAACATGGAAGGGGGTGGTGGCAAGTGGGGAAAGGGGAGGACTGCCATTTTACACGGGTGATCAAAGGCACAAAGGAGACACCTGATCAGAGACCGTAAGAAACAAGGCACATTGGGCTGGGAGGTGGGTGAAATGGGTGAAGGTGGTCAGAAGGTACATGCTTCCAGTTATAAGTTCTGGGGATGTAATGTACAGCATAGTGAATATAGTTAACAATACCATATTGTATATTTGAAAGTTGCTGAGAGTAGACTCCAAAAGTTCTCATCACAAGAAAAAAAAAATGTAACTATGAGGTGATGGATGTTTACTAAACTTATTGTAATCATTTTGTAATATACACATAAATCATGTTGCACACCTAAAACTAATAACAATGTTCTGTCAATTATATCTCAATTTTAAAAAGGAAAATGAGGGGCAAACCTTCTCAAGAGACAGAACACACAGCAATGCAAAGACCCTGAGGTGGGACTGTTACCTGCAGATCAAAGAACAGAGTTAGGGGAGGTGAGTGAGGGGGAGAGGTAGGGGATAGACCTCGAGGGACCTGAGGCGAGTGTCTGTCTGACCTGGAAGGCCACAAGACTTTGGTTTTGCTCTGATGGGGAGGTGAACCACTGAAGGGTCAGTGGTATTGTCTGACATGACTTGAAACCCTCACTCTGGAGAAGACTATACGGAGAGGAGATGCAAGAGGCTCCTGTGGTAATCCAAATGAGAGGTGAGGGTAGCTGGACCAGGTGGTGGGGATAGATGGGATAAAGGGAGTCAGATTTTAGATTCATGAATTTTCTAAGATTTCACTATGGATAATTTCAAATACAAAAGAAAACAGTTTATTGAACTCCCAAGTACTTGTCACCCAGCTTCAACAATAATTGTCAGCTAGTTTTATTTTATCCAGTTCTCCCCACTTTGGGGAGTAAAGGAATTGGGAGTATTTTAAAATGAATCTCAAACATCAAATTTATAAATATATATGTATCTCTAATATACTAATAAGGACTTTAAAAAATATCTAACGTACATATAATGTCAATATCCCACCCAACAAAATCAACCATTATTCCTTATTAGCATCCCATTTTCAGTCCGTGTTCAATTTTCACTGATTGCCGCAAAAATACCTGTTGACAACTGGTATGTCTGAATTAAGATCCAAACAACATCCAGAGGTTGTATTTGATTGACTTGTCTCAAGTCTTATTTATCTGTGACAATTTTCCCTTGAATACTTGCATAGGAAGAATAAAAGAAAGAGGGGAGTCAAGGACAGCTCCATAGTTTGTGGCCTGAGAAGGGAAGCAGCTTTGGGGTGTGGGAATGAGGATTCAGTTCTGGAAATGTTAAGTTTGAGTTGTTTTTAGATATCCAAATGGGGCCAGCCAATAGGCAGTTGGTAGTCTAGTGTGGAGTCAAGGCTGGAGAAGACATTTGGACATCTGGGTAAAGAATTTCAAAAGTCACGTGACTGGATGAGACCACTGAGGGAAGGGTGGGGGTGGGGTGTGTGTGTGTGAATGGAGCTCCTTACGCTGCCATCCGGGAAGTGGAACCTCCCTCCTATGTTTTTGAGTCTTTTTTCAATCTTTTAATCACAGCATTACCTGCATTTTTAAAATCCCTTTGTGGATACTTTTCCACAAGATAACGTGAACATTCTTGGGTATCGTTTTTTTTATCCCCTCCCAGCTTGGTGGTTTCCTCTTTATGGATGTGCTTCCTACCTCCCCCTACAATTTCAGTCCCTTCCATCTACTCCCCAGCTCCAAAAAAAGGTAGTGAAAGGAAGGGATTGTTGTGCTTCTGAGCCCCTTGGGCAGTCTTGGATATCACTTTGTACAGGTCCACACACAAAGAGGAAGGCAGCTTTTAGTAGGTGATACATCCTGTCACTCGGAAGATTATGAAAAGAGGCCAGAGGCAGGGAATACCATGGCATAGACTAGACTTAGGATTCTGCCTCTTTGCTAATGCCCAAAACTGCCCATTAACTTCAAAACCTGGGTAACAGTTCTTTTAAAGCACTAGTCTTTAAAAGTCTAATTAAATGTTTATTATGCAAGTGTTGACCATGCTTGATTTTCAATTAGTTTAACAAAGTCCTTATAAAAACAAAGTTATTTACTAGTCCTGGTCACAGTCCACTGAGATAGTGGTTTTGTCAGTCCTCATAAAACCCTCTGTCCCTCAGTCCCTATAATCAGGCTTTGGTTTTGGAGACTTACAGGGTGACAGCGGCTATACAAGAACTTAGGTGATAAGCTCAGAGACATATGAATATAGCTGAGCTAGGAAATACTGGGGACAAACTAAAAAAGAAAAACAGAAATTTTCCTTCCTAAGATAACAATGCCAACGGCTTCAATAAGTGTGAGTTGTCCTGTAAATGGCCCTCAGATCAGGAAGGAGTCAAGGCCTGCTAATGCCACTGGCTTTGGGCCTTTCTGTGCCAAAGACCACACAAGTGTCCCCCATGGCCTAGGAGCACAGCCATAGATTCCATAGGCAAAACTTGTGCTGGAGGCTATAAACTGGAAGCCGACAGCCCCAGCCAGCCTGAAGGCAGGCTTTGTCTGGTTCTTCCCACAAAAACGTTTTTTTTTAAGTTTGAATTTTAAATTAGAAGAGTTCACATAAAACAGCTAGATTTCTGGCTTCTCTTGGGGGGAAAAAAATGTAGCAAATTTGGCTATGCTGAGCCTGCATGCCAATGGTAAAATGGGCTTGGGATAAGTAGCAGCTTCTGCCCCTCTCCAGTCTTCCACGTCCCCAGAGCGCCCCACTGCTCCCAACGCTGAAGCCAAGTCTGGCCCCAGCTGCCATCCACTGTTTGCTTTGTAGTGGCAGTAAAAGCAAAATGGGAAAGCAAAGAAATGCTGAAGAGCTATATGGTTAAATAAAAATGGGAGAAAAAATATACTTGTTTTGGAGGTAAAGAATATCATATACATCAAAATACCCAAAAGACATCCCTTAAAAGAGTAGATTTATTTTCAAGAATTTACAAAATCTGATTACAGCATTCTCCAGGTTTCTTTATTTTGAATAAAGATCTATTTGGGGACGAACTCTCTCAGCCCAAAATGAACTTGATTACTGTAAGTTCTGGGTATTTAACAGAGGTTTTGAAAAAAGGAGGCAAAGTAATTTAACACTGATTTAGTTAGTACTTATTGCTGGAGGTATAACTTCATAACAAGGGTTAGTTACCTAAAAGCTTAAAAAAAATGATCACTTTAAAAAGGAAGCTTGTGGATTCAGATAAAATTTCCAAAAACCACACTACACTGAATTCACGAAGTACAGGATCACACAACATTTAGAGGGAAATGGAGATGGTGCATTCTGGAAAACTAGTAGATGATGCAAAAACAAAGATGATGAAAACAGTGTCAGAGACTCACAAGAAAAATCTGAATAAAAATGTTTCAGAAAAAAGTAAAAAAAACCCCCAGGATTTCCCAAGTAAATATATTCTGTATGATTTTAAATATACATCCAACCAAAATAGTAAACAATTATAGGTAAACTATTTGATCTATATTCCCTAAAGCTTTTATATTCAAATTGGCCCAAAAATATTTTTCAGGACTTTTTCCATTAGTGTTATCTTACTTTCTGACACTTATTGTATTCCCTCTCACGAGTTAATAAGTAAACAAAACATGCCAGTGTCAGGAGGTCACAGTGCTGCCCTCTTTGCATTTATACTTCCATTTCTGTTTGGCCCCTGGAGGCATATAAGCCGCTGACCCTTGGATGCAGCCCACCAAAACAGGAACTCCTCCACTCACCTTCTCTCATCTTTTGATCTAATTCATCCAGTGTCGGCTCAATCAACTCCCAGCCATCTGGGGGAGCTTTCCGGCTTCTTTTGACTTTAGGCATTTTTTCCCCCCCACAAGATAATTTGCGAAGATCTGGAGGGGAAAATTAAATGAATTGGTTTCTGAACCACAGATACCCAAAGGGCTTCTTCACCAGCCACCATTTTGGTGCACATTCACTTCCCTAACTCTTATCTCAGCTGTAAAAAGGGGATAATAGATAATTGTAAAGACTTAATTATAATTGTATATAACATGCATGGCATTTAATGTGTGCTTATTAGATTTTTGTTATTATCATTAACAGACATCAACTATGAGCCTGCCCTGTAATGGATATTGGGAACATAGAACAATGAATAAGACACAACCTCTGTCACCGAGGTGACATTCTAGCAAGGAGGTAGAAAGTAAAGAGGCAATTACAATGTAGTGTGAGGAGAACTACGATTAGGGGAGCTGAGAGAATGAGTGTTTAAAAGGGAAAAGGACAGTATAAAACCAAAGTACCTTAGGGTTTGCTTCCCAAGAGTGTAACAGAAAAATCTCTGGTCTCTTCAGTTACAGGCTTAGGTTCTTGTCCAGCTCTACCAGTTACTCTGTGACTTTTGGAGGGGAGGGTCACATTCCCTCTCTCTTCCTCAGTCTCATCTGTAAGACAAGGGCGGTGGAATAGGAGTAGCCAGATCGCCAAGGTCTCTTTTAAACCCAACAAACATACTACATAGAGAGAAAGCATATAAAGCCCATATAATAGTCCAGCTCAAATGTAAATAGCAAAGCATTTTTTTTTCAAACCTCATAGCATTGTCTAGTTGGCAAAAAGAACTCAGGTTATCTCTTACCTTTAAACATAGCAGACTCCTCTGTCCCAAATTCATTCAGTCCCTCCCTTCTGTAGGGCGTCTGATGGTTTACAAAGTGCTCCCCCCTCCCCCGCAACAAAACCTTTCATGAATTCTCCTTAACAACCTTACAGATGAGGAATCAAACTTCAAAAGCTCAAGTCAGGGTCTCACAGCTGGGAACTGGCAGAGTCTGACTCTGATTGGGGGGGGTGGGTGTCCTGACTCCCAAATCAGTTGTCTTTGTACTTGTCTCCCCTACGCTCAAGCTAGAGATAGATGGAATCTGGTCCCTGCCCCAGCGCGCACTGGCTGGGAGGACAAAGACACGGGAATGACCACTCTGCTATCAACCAGGTTAAGCTAAGGGCCCTGGCCCGGCCTGGGAGTCAGAGGAAGCCTCCCAGGGGAGATAACTGGTAGGAGGTAAACTAGATGATGAAAGTGTCGGGCGGTGGAAGAGGGGTTGTAGCACTCTGGAGAGGCGGCGAGTGAAAAGGCGACGGAGGAAAGACGTTACAGCCAGAATGGCAGGACAGCCTCATATAGAGGACGGCATCTAAACTGGGCTTACAAGAACAAGCAGTTTTTAGACAAAAAACGCTCTCGGCAGAGAAAACAGCATGGGGGCGGGGCTAGGAACAAGGGAACTCCCTGATCTCCCATTCCCTCAGCAGAGCGAGCGAGGCACCGCCTCCTCTCGGGAACTCACTCTGACCTCCCGGTCCAGAGACCCGAACCCCTCCCAGTGCAGCCGTTCACATCACTCTCTAGGCTAGTGCAGATCTTCGATCCCTGGCCCCAGCCATTACCAAGGTACTAGAGAACAGAAAAGAACACCTACCGGAACCTCTGTCGTTGTCGGCCCCCGTTTCTTTACGCTTCCGCTTCCCAGGTGATTGCTTTAGGATGAGGTCCTTGCGGAGCCCCGCCCCACCTCGCGCAGAGAGTGCGTAATCTTAGGTGTCCGACGCTCTGCCTGTATAGAATTCCAGAGTCGCTGTTGCTTTTTGTCCTCACTTCCCGGGAGGGGTGGCCGGCAAACTCACACGTCTCCCGGGGGTGGGACAGACTGGCGGTGCTGTTGCCTGGCAGCGCACGTGCGAGCCTGGACTCAGGCAGCGCGCGGGACAGTAAGGCTTCGTGCGCCGGCTTCCTGAGGTCCCCGGTTCTCGCGGCAACAGCGGCGGCGGCGCAGCGCTGAGGGGACTGGCCTGGGCGGAAGAAGTCGAGCCCGAGGTATTTCCGGTTCCGGCGCCAATTCGAGGCGCCGCCGCCGCAGCCGCCGGAGCCGCGATGCCTAAAGGAGGTGAGGGCCGGGCGCGTGGCCCGCGGGCCTCAAGGGGCAGCTCGAGTCCGGCTCCCGCTGTCCACCCAACTCGCGGGAGCCTCGGAGAGCGGCGCAAAGTGGGGACGTCCGCGCTTGCTGAGGTCCAGGCCTGGGCCTCGACGCCCAATTGTCCAGATGGGGAAAATGAGGACCATAGTGGCCTCGAGCCACTCCCTCAGGAAATCGAACGCAGAATCCAGTTTTAGGGAGCGCTTCTCCTGGCCTGGGGAGTCTGAAGCTTCCTCCCATCTAGGTTCGCCGGTGACTGAGTCACTGCGTCCAGTCCCTTGTGCGGGGCCTGCCTGGCTCGCATGTAAAATGTGGGCCTTCTTGGGCTCTGGTGGAACCAGGCCTGCCTAATGAGACATAATGCTCTTGAGCCTGGCCGACCTAGCTTTGACTGCCCTATTCAGCAGCGGCTCGATGTGGCCCTTTGAGTCCGTCGCTTAACCTCCCTGTGTCTCGGTTTTCTCATGTGCAAATGGGCGTTATGATTGTACCTACCTCATAGTACTGACGAGAGGCTTAAGCTAGGTAATCCACGTGGAGTGCACAATACAGTGCCGGGCAGTCATTAAGTGCCCAGTAAAGATGAACTTGTTATTTGTAAGACTTTGTCAGTTCCTTGGCCAAGAAGGTAAAGAAGTCATAGCTTTCCATCATCTTGCCCGTCCCCGACCATCCTCTTTCGCTAAGCTTCAGTAGTTCTCAATTTGAAGCCCAACAGTGGCTTTGAAGAAGTTAGTTAACTTCTTCCAGCCTGTTTTCCTCATTGGAACACCAGGCTGATAACCCTTAGCTTGGAGAGTTGTAGCGGGTCATAAAATGATAGAGCACTTGAAGTGCCTGGCTACCTCCTGGCACGAACAGATGTTCTGTTAATATTGGTAGCTCATGTATCGTGGTTGAGATGCATCAGCCCACAGGAAAATCTACTTGGAGCTTTTTCAAACCTAAATGACTTCCAGAGGTATTGGGCTTTACAGAGCTGAATTTATTTATACCTAGCTATTTACTAATTTATTCTGTGGTAAGAAGGGCCATGTTACCGCTGTTCCTAAGTCTCCTGTTTTGCAAAAGGAGGTTGCTAAATGAGCCCTTCTGATTCCAGAATTCTGGCTCTAGGAGTCCTACTTCATAGATACTTTGAGCAAAGGTTGGATGTTACAATTAGAAAGTCCTAACTATCAATTCTTGGTGAAATAATTCGGCCTTTTGGCTTGTGAAAAGCTTTACGTGTAGACAAGTTTTACATTTCTTGCTTGCATTCATTTGCTTCAAAAACAAAACATGGATACGTTAAAGTATGAAATTCCCCATGAACAAAGGACCAACTCTTGTTTGAATTTTGTAACTGTGAAGTGTTTTTGAAGGCATGAAGAGCTGATAAAAGTTACTGTAAACCAAGTTAAGGTCAGTATCTCATAGCCAAGTGTGTAGGATGGGAGCCTGTAGTAGCCAATTTTGAGTTGTTACTATTGCCTGGACTATTAAGAGTGCAAGAAAGGGTGTTGGTTTTTATAATGGCAAGCTTGATCTCTTGTAATAGGATTTTCATGAGCATAGACTGAGACACTCCTGGGAACTGAGGTAGTCATTAAAAATGGGTGGTGTGCTTTGTAGCAGCCCAATTATGGCTCTGCAGCTGCTGTCTAGGAAATCAGGGGAGGCCAGTATCTCTTACTGTCCCCGGAGTCCAGACCAGCTCTGGCTGTCTAATATAGAGTCTCCGCTCTCAGTGAGAGACTCACTTGAAATCAAGTGGATCACAGCTTTCAGGAAAGGTTGGGGATGGGTCAAGGCCACAGCCATCCCAGTGTCCTCTGGGACCAGCAGAGGGGGTGCCACCCTGCTATAAAACTGACTGATGGCTTCAGCAGGGATCAGTCTAGTGTCCTAGCTCAAGAGAGTCAGACTATAAAACTGATGCACTTAGCTGAACTTTAAATTGCTAGTCATATTTTTAACTCTTAGATGGTACTTAGTTTATTTTCAACTTTCACTTTGCTTGCCAGCTATGTTTCTTACTCTAAGCTAAGCACAAGGAAGTTTTCTCCTATAGGTTTTAAGTTTTCTCTTTCTATCATACCATTTAGGTGAACATGAAGTATTTTACATTCCCTTACATCTGTAGTAAATCACTGACGTGGCCAGTGGCTTTCCCCCTACACCAAATACTGTATTAGAGAGAAAGGAATCATAACAAACATTTTTGTAGTCCTTATCTCTGTGCCACGCACTGTCAACAGCTTTATATATGTTAACAAATCCATCTTTGTGACAACCCTATGAGGTAGGGACATAGATGAAGAAGTTGAGACTCTGAGAGGTTAAGTACCTGCTCAAAGTAACAAAGTTAGTAAGTGGTAGAGCTAAGATCTGAACCCCAGGGTCGGACTCTAGCATTTATGCTGTTCACTCTGCTTTGATCTTAAGTCTCCTTGTCTATAAAATGGGACCAGCTATAACTCTTACACCATAGGTTTGTTCTGAGGATCAAAAGAGCCCATGGCTGTGACAGAACATTGCAAGTAAAAAGAACTGTAGTAACAGCAGAGGTGTGTTACATGTTCTCATGATTGCATCTGAGTCTGCTATGTTTGGATTCTAAAGGACCAGGAGATTTAGCCTGTCACTACATGCGGTATGCCCTCCCCCCCATATTCTCCCCTCAGGTCTTGTTTATGGGAACCTGCATCCAGCACATAGTTGAGTGCTGCATCATGTGGTGCCTCTTTTGTTCTTCGAACACATAATGGGGGAGTATGGGTTTGGGTGGCGCTTGGTGAGGGGTAGGTTTGGTCTCTGCAGCCCCCAATGAGAACGCCTCAAGCAGGACAGCCTTCGGGCTGGGCAGTCAAGGAACTGCTTCCCTTTCACCTTCCTAAACTGCAAATCCTCATGCAGGGAGAAAGGGAGGCCACAAAGGCCGGGCCCGGCAGTACACAAGCCCCGAGGAGATCGACGCACAGCTCCAGGCTGAAAAGCAGAAGGCCAGGGTGAGTACATGCCTGTCCAGGCCACGCCAGTGTTCCAGGGCGGTGCCCTGTCTTTTTGGTACCCAGAAAGGCCAGGCAAGGACCACCCATTCTCAGGGAAAGGCCTACATCTGAGGTTTAGGGGGGGCAGCAAGGAGCAGGAAGGAGTCTCAGAACAACTGATGGCAGTCAAGAGGGGAGCCATCCTCTGATTGGATCAGTTAGAGCTTTGTTCACTCAGCAACAGTTGCCTTAGTGGGTATCTGTCCTTGGTCCTGTGTTCTTGTCTTCCAGGGGTTCTCCCTTTGCCAGGCTCTTGCCATCCCCAGGTTGAGCTCCCCGCACTACCGCATGTCTGCTCCAGTCATGAAGGACTGCTTGCCAAACCCAGCATAATGTGATGCCCTGCCTTCCCACACCCCCAGCAGGCACAGGTCATTCATTCCCACAGACCTTGCTCAGCGTCACCTCTTCTGTGAATCTCTGGTGCTACTTACCCTTCCCCCTCCAGTCCAAGCTTAGTAGTTCCCTCTACTCTCTTTCTTCAGTGCTTTTTCCAGCCCACTGTCAGGAAACAAAATATGTTTCTGTCATTGATGGTGTCCATGGCCCTTACCACACCATTAGATCCTCACCTGCATAAGGGCCGGGGGGAGCACAGCCAGGCCAGATGAGTGTCACAGTTGTATAGTACCTTGGAGCCCCAAGAAGGAAGAGGCCACATCTAAGTGGGTAGAGGGGAGGAGGTCCTGCCTGGTGGAGGGGCTGGCAGTTGAGCAGGACTTTGGAGAATGTGTAGGCAAGTGCTAAGTGGGGACGGATGTACAGTTTTTGTAAGGGATCTCTTTGGTGGGGAGGCAAAAAAGGTGGAGGGAAGGTGCGTGCCAGGGTGTTGTCTTAGGGCATCTGCATGGGCCGGTTAGAGTGGCTGGCTTGCCAGTGACTATGGGAGTGGAAAGCAGGGGAGGACTTGCCCAGAAATATGAGTATGATTTGGCAGCTGTGGGAGCAGGAGGGGAGTGAGCAGGACTACTTTCCGACCCCATGGCTGAGTCCTGAATCTGGGAGATGAGGCACCTGGGCTGAGAAGGGGAACAGGGCATTTATGGCTGTGTGAGGGGCTTGCTGGACTGTGGGAATGGCTTTCAGGCTGCGGAGTCAAGTGGATAGGCTGCCTCTGACACAGGACCCGCACTGGGGGCCAGGGTCTCAGAGTAGGACCCTTGTCATCCTTGGTACCAGCCTTATGGGGACTTAATTTCTCAAGGTCCGCAGTCTGGGGGATGTTGGGGCAGGGGTCACAGTGTTGGGGGTTTGTTTTGCATTTTTGATTCTGCAGGTTGTCCATTTCTGAAACAGGAAGAAGAGGAACAAGAAGAAGGTGGAGATGGGGCTGCAGGTGACCCCAAAAAGGAGAAGAAATCACTAGACTCAGATGAAAGTGAGGATGAAGAAGACGATTACCAGGTACTGGGTTTGGTGGGGGCCTGGGACCTACACTCACTCATTCAACATTTATCAAGTGCGTATTGATTACCAGTCTCATTGGTAAATTCAGACAGAGTCCTTGCCCTTAAGGGTTTACATTCTAATAGGGAGATACAGTTACACATTGCATAAGGACGTTTCTGTTAACGATGGACTACCTATATGACAGTGGTCCCATAAGATTATAATGGAGCTGAAAAATTTCTATCATCTAGTGACATTATAGCCATTATAACGTCGTGGTACAACGCATTACTCATGTAATGTTTGTGGTGATTCTGGTGTAAACAAACCTGTACTGCCAGTCCTATAAAAGTATCGCATGTACAATTACAGTAGTGCGCTATGCCGTCTGGGTTTGTAAGTGCACTCTGATATTCGAACAACAACAGAATCATCTAATGATGCATTTCTTAGAACATATCTCCATTGCTAAGGGGCATGTGATTGTATAGACCGGGGGTCGGCAAACTTTGGAGATAGAAGAGCCGCCAGGGGTCAGCAAACTGGCTCGCGAGCCACATGCGGCTCTGGGTACGTACATGTGGCTCTGAAGTAAAATTGAAAATGAATATAAAACTATCATAGTTTCATTTATAAAATTTTTAAAGGATATTATTCACATAATGGTGATTTCATTTGTTTTGTAGGTCTCACAAAACTTCAAGGGACAGGATTGGCTCTCCCAGGGGTCGGCAAACTTTTGAGATGGAACATACCCAAAGAGCCACATGTGGCTTGAGAGCCGCAATTTGCCGATCCCTGGTATAGACAATAAGGAAGTAAATGAACAGTATAATTTCAAATAGTAAGAAGTATTACAGATAAAATGGACTGTGATTTAGGGTACTTGGAGTAGTGTGTGGTGAGGAGGTGACCAGGCAGCCAGATTAGCAAATGCAAAGGCCCTGGAGTGAGAATGGCCTGAGCATGTTCAGGGAACAGAAAGAGGTTGGTGGATAAGGGGTACAGTGCTTAGGGATGAGAAAGGAGAGATTGTAAAGGGCAGCTCCCGCAGGGCTGTTGAAGGGGTTTGGGTTTCACTGTAGTAGGCAGTTGGTGGAGGTCTTGAAGTTGGAAAGAGAGATGACCAGACTTGCTTTTAAAAGATTGTTTGGGGGGAAGGTCCAAGATGGCAGAATAGGCGAACACTATACCTGCTGCCTCTCAGAATCACATTAAAATTACAACTAAATTATAGAACAGTCAACCTGGAGAACCATCTGAAGACTAGCTGAAAAGCGCTCCTAGAACTAAGGATATAAAGAGGCCACGTAAAGACTGAAAAAAAAAAAAAAAAAGAAATTGAGTAGTACAACTAATAAAAGTTTAAAAAAAGGATTGTTTTGGCTTCTCTGCAAAGAGTGAATTGAATTGTAGGGTGTTGAGGGTGGAAGCAGGGAGATGGTGGCAGGTACTCAGATAAGAAATTGTAGCTAGTATTGGGGTGGTGGCAATGGCAGTGCAGAGGAGTGGGTAGATTGAAGCCATATTTTTGAGGTAGAATTATTGGGGTTTGCTGAGGGCTGGGTAAGGGGGCTGAGGGAAAGAGGAGTAAGGCCGTGCTTAGGACTGTGGAGAGGAGCTGCGTGGGTGAGGGGTGAAGGTCGAGCTCTGTGTTAGACCTGTTATGTTTGTGGTGTCATGTATCCAGATGAGCTGTTGGGAGATGGTGGGAGTGCCTTCAGAGGCTCTGCAGAACCTAAACTTCTCCAACGGCCAGCTTCTTGTTCCATCTTAGCAAAAGCGCAAAGGTGTGGAAGGGCTTATCGACATCGAGAACCCCAACCGGGTGGCACAGACAACCAAAAAGGTCACACAACTGGACCTGGACGGGCCCAAGGAGCTCTCAAGGAGAGAACGGTAACTTTCTGCTTCGAGGCCTGCTGACTTGGGCACCTGGGCCGGGGGCTGACCTGTGGGGGGCTGAGGCACCCACCTCCTCTGAGGCCCTTGCTTCCTGGGCTCTGAGGTCCCCAGTGACTGGGTGGAGGCTGAAGCTATGGTGTTGATTTGTTTCATCTCATTCCCCAAAAGGCTCTGTAGGAGCTTCTCAAAAAAAATAAAACAAAAAGAATTGTTTTATTCACTAGTAGAAACATAGCAGGGAAAATAGAATTAAGACCTGAGTGTTGCACTTGAAGTAATCCCGGGATGCAGAGGGCTACAGTCCCCTCCAGGGACACTTACTGGCCCAGCCTGATCTCACCATGCTGGCCTGCATCCATCTGTAATGTCATGGCCATGGAGATTGGGAGGGGACTTAGGGACTGTGGTATCCAGAAGGCAGCACAGTGCAGGGAGATCCACTGGCTCCCCAGCCCTCCCCAAGTCCCAAGTGAAAATGTTGCGGTGGGTAATAGCTTCCTCATAGGTGTGAGGATCACAGTCGAGTACCAAAGTGCCCTGCTCATGGCCAGTTACCCATAAGTAGAGCCCTGACTTTTGATGGCCACCAGGTGATGTCAAGGGCCTTACAGGAGGTTGTGGAATGCTAGGATTTAAATCCACCTTCCTGTGTTGGCTCCGTGACGGCTAAGGGGGTCTATGAAAACCCCACTGGGAAGGCCCATGAGCTTGGGGTGTGACTGGAGGCTGCAGTGGACTCTTCCCCTCCAGTAGCTTCCTTCTCACAGTGAAAAGGGCATCCTGTTGCTACTCTCCCCCTTTGGGGTTGAGGCGTAAAAGCCATAAAGGCTCACACCCTGCCTGCACTTGGCTTTCCCTGAGGAGGCCCTGCAGAGCCTTCATCCAGCCTTATTCCAAATGCCTCCGTGCCCCCTTCCTTCCTCCCAGGGTAGGATCTGCTGGGCTGGCAGGTATTCCCCTCTCATCTCTGTAGCAAGGGTCTTGTCTAGAATATTCTGGGCAAGACATCTGCTCATCTGACTTTTGGTTGCTGGGTTTCGTACCCCCCTGCCCCCCAGCCCTTCCCCTTCTGCTCTGGCCAGGCTCCATGCTTCCTCATTACGCCTCAGCCCTGCGTGCTGTGAGGCCTCTGGGATGCCAAGTCCCTCCCCCAGTCTCCTGCCACGCAGGGCTTCCCTGCCCGCTCCAAAACCTGGCTCTTCCAAGAACCTGGTGTAAACAGGACCCTCCGGTCTCCCACTACAGTTTAGACTCTCAGGCTTGGGAAGAAGATCTCAAAGGGAAACAGATGGCCCTCATTTCTCTCTCTTGGGTTGGTGGCTGTCACCTTTGTCCCATGGAAGTCCAGCTCTTATTCCCACACCCCCGTTCATGGGGGGCTCCCCCCACATGAGTGTCTTTTACCGAGAATGTGCTATCGTGTGGACCTGAGATTGGGTGTGTCTGGTTCCTATCTGTGGCCACTTGGTCCACTCTTTTCTCCACTCCTTATAGAATGTGGGTCGTCTTGGTCGTCTTCTCTGGAGACAACCAAAACAATTCACTTGGTTTTGGTCCCTCTTTCTCACGACACCAGACCTTAGTCAGCCACATCCTGCCCACCCCACCCCCCGCCCCCGCCAGGCATGGTCCTCTCTGTGCTAAGGCTTCCCAAAGGTCACAGGTGCTGAGCTCACCCCCATCCTGTGTTTCCTGTCTGAGGAAGCTGAGTGGACCACTTGAACTTTCCCCAGCCCCTTGAGCCTGTCGTGCAGAGGTCCAGGCCTGTCCCTCTGCATGCTTGTTGGGTGAGTGTCCATCAGGGAGGGCGCACACAGAGTCAGGGCTCCTCCCTCAGCCAGGGTGCCCTCTTGCGCTTGGGCCCCAGGCCTGAATACTTGGCCTTTATTCTGGCTCCCACATCCAGCTCAGCTGATAATGGTGGGGAAGATGTCCCTTGTGACACCATTTTATCCAAACAGAGAAGAAATCGAGAAGCAGAAAGCAAAAGAGCGTTACATGAAAATGCATTTAGCTGGGAAGACAGAGCAAGCCAAGGCCGACCTTGCCCGCCTGGCTATCATCCGGAAACAGCGGGAGGAGGCTGCCAGGAAGAAAGAAGAAGAGAGGAAAGGTAAGTGCTGAGCCTCTGGAGTGCTGCCTGACTCTGGTTCTGGGCATCAAATCCTACACTTCACTGACCTTGTGAGATGGGGTGAAGTGGGGGTGGGGGGGTGGAGGGGGGTGCTCACGCGCGTCGGGGGGTCACTGGCAGGTGGTGGTGGCCATTCCTGTGCCGCTTCCCCACCTCCCCCCAGGTTTTGTGAGGCTCTGCCAGCAGCACGGAGTCAATATGGGTTTGAGCCTCAGCAGAGTACTGTCCATGGTGTCAGAGGGAGGCCTCAGGGATGTTCCAAGTGCAGACCTTGGAGTCTGGGAGGTCCCACCAGGGTCTCTGGTACCTTGTGTGGCTGGGAGAGCTGCCTGGGGTCACCAGTGTGTCCTAGGGGCTTGGGAAGTTGGGGCAGGTTGCAGACTTAGATGAAGTGTGGCCCAGGTGTGTCTCTTCCCCCATGTCCTTCTCCAGTGGGGCCAAAGGTGGTAGGGGTTCCTCTAGGCCAGGCTGGCTGTGGGGAGTTGGTCTGCCTTATAGGAGGGTTTGGATCATGTCCTTCTGTGTCCTGGTCTCATGCACTATCCCTTGTGGGACAAGAGCCCTTAGGAATCCTGCTATCCTGCCTCCTCACCAAATAGCAAGGAAACTGAGGCTTAGAAATGGGAAACCAGTTGCCTAGGGGCATTCTCACCACACTGGAGAGATACCTGGTTATCCCAACTCCTTGCTGGCAGCTTTTGCTTCAGACCCCAAGCAGGAAAGGACTTCCTGTGTGACTATTTGAACATTGTTACTGATTGTAGACTTCAGAACCCACAGGTAGAGGTTGAAATTAAGGGGTTCTGCCTGGGGTAGGGGGCTGGGGAGTAGCAGGTAAGAAAAGTTCCTATTTGCCCCGTGGATTATGTGTTGGTGGACCTTTATGGAGTGGGTCCCAGACTCTGCAAAAATGTTTGGATACCTGTGTCCAGTGGCTTCAGCAGAAATCCCCCTTGGGAAGGGTGTCAGGTGGGCCCTTCTTCCTGGGTCTTTCTCTTCCATCTGCCTGCTGAGCCAGTTGCACCAAGTTTTTTGAGGCCTTACAGACCTATAGGTCTGTCATTCTGGGGATGGGGTTGTGTATGTGGAGGGCTTGTTTTAACTCTACCTTTTCCTTCCCTTTCCACCCTCAGCAAAAGATGATGCAACTTTGTCAGGAAGACGAATGCAGTCGCTCTCCCTGAATAAGTAGCGTGGCCTGAGGGAGGAGATACCAGGGGACTGGGCCATGTGGCCAGCACTGCTGCCATGGCTCGCCCACCCTGTGCCCTGGCACCGCTGCAGCAGCCCCTCAAGACAAGGAGCCCCCCACAGCCTGGGGCCTCCTCTTCATCTTGGCACAGAAATTGTTGGGGGGATGGTGGGAGGGGGGCTGGGGGTAGGGGGCAGCTGCTATCTTTGAGATAGAAAGATGCAGGACAGCATTTCATATGTAATCATTTGAATGTTTTTGCTGTTTTTAGAGTTCAGAACCCTTGTTGGGGGTGCCTGGGAGGTGGGGTAAGAAGAGCTTCTGTTTGTCCAGTAGATTGCACGGTGAGGGGCGGTTGTGCTGGGGGCAGCTGCTGGAGAGTTTGCAACAACCAGCCCGTCTGTTGCCTGGGTGCTCATGCAGAGAGGCTGTCATCTGGGAGCCTGTGCCCCTGGGTCCCTGAAGGGTCATGGCTCATCCCTGGCCAGTCCCCTCCTACTGAGGCCTCCCCTCTGCCCTTACCTGCCCCATTCCCACCCTTCTGGCCAGGGCCCATTCTTAACCCTTCCCATCGATCATTTCAAGCACCCAGGCAAAACATGCTCCACAATTCCAACTTGTATATTTGGCAGATTAAACTTGACGTTATCGTAATCCTTGTTCTGTGATCCATCTTGGGTCCCTGTGCTTGGGCTGTTTTCACCCAACAGGGCATGGTATCACTCAAAGCAGGCCTACCCCACAAGGTTCAGGCGGCACCGAGCAGGGTTCAGGGATTGGATCCTAGGCATCCAAACTGGAGAGACTGCGGGATACGAGAGCCAGCCCCCTCCACTGGCCAGGGACGCTCCCGCAGCCACAGCAGGCTGGCAGCAGCACCAGGCCTCTCCAGGTTTCCAGGTGCCTCCTGCTGTTAACAGCCTCAGGATTTCAAGGCTGGAAGGCAGCATCCCAAAAACGGATACCCAGCATAACTGCCACGCATTACCTTGTTTAGACCTTACCACCCAGTGTGGGGGGGATGGCAGCTGGGACACTGGGGCTTAGCACATTCACAAGGGCTGCCTGCAGGCTTGGCCACAGCACCTCTCCCGCCCCTGCACCTCCACTGTGAGGGGACTCTGCGTCGTGAACAGCAGCATTTTTTGCACACAGTCCTGAGAGGTCAGTGACTGGGTGCCAAGCAGGAGATTTGGTCTGAGGTGAGACAGATTTAGTGGCAGAGATGGAATCAAGCCCTGGGATCCCAGTGACCTCTACCACATCTGGGTTTGACCATACAGGTCAACAGCCCTGGATGCCCCAGAAAGGGATCCCACAGCTGCCAGCATCTAGCTCACTGTGGCCTGCAGAAAACCCGTCATGACCTAGACTAAAAGGAAACCCACGGTAAGTAGATAACTAAAAAGTATGGGATTAAACAAAAATAACCCCCTGAATAAAAGGAATGGGGGGAAATTGTCTTAAAAAATGAGCATTTATCAGAAACCAACTGCAAACATCAAATAGAGAAATATTAAATTTCCATTAAAGCCCAGAACCAGCTTGGAATGTACAACCACTTGTCTAGGAATCTATTAAATGAATGACAGGAAAGAATGCCTGGTCCTGGCAGCCCCCAGGCTGGACTGCAGTGGGGGAAGGCCCTTGGATTTATGGATCATTTTGCTGGCAAACCAAAATAAGCTACTTATGCCTGTGCAAAATCTAACTTCTTCCAAACAGGAGACATGTCTACAATTGTATTTTTATTACTTCCAAGTTTCGAAGCAGTTCATGACCAGCAGAGTGCTTTGGGGACTTCTTTTTTTTACAATAAATGAAAGTAAGAAAAAGGCACATGTTCCTTCAAATAGATTAAGAAAAGCTTCCTACCCCCTACCCCTCTCCCCACTGTGGGTACCCAAGTGGGTACCTTAGAAACATTCAGCAAAGCGAGCCTTAGCCTCCCAGACCCCTTCCCCAGCAGCTGGGATGAGGCCAACACTCCTCACAGGTCATTTGATCTTGAGATCCTTCAAGGCTGATTCCAAGCTCTGGAAGATGAGCAGAACAGGCTGGTTCTCAGGTGTCCTGCAGACATCCCATCTGCAGGGACCTGGCCCACACCCACCCCACCTCCAGCAGGGCAGAGGGTAGAGAACTTGGTCTTTGGGGTCCAGCAAACCTGAGTTTGAATCCTAGCCCTAAAAAGGAGGTGCCCACAGAGCATGTCGAGGCCCGGATGTCAAGGGGCTGCCTTTCATCCCCCCACCTCATTCCAAGTGCTTTTTTCCTGCAGGAATGAAGTTCGGGGCATCCAGGGAGAATGGGGAAGAAGGGCCCCCGGGGTTCTGGTGGGAAGCACGGTGGGGTGAGCCTCACCTTCACATCCCAAATGCTCATGCCGCCGTCCATGCCGGTAGTGCAGAACTGCGAGCATTTGGCCTTGCCCCCGCTGAGCACCGAGATCTGGCTGCAAAGAGGATAAGAGCTTTACGGATCCCAGCCTGTTGTGCTGGACTCAAGCCCACTGTGCCCTCCAGCTCTTAGGGGAGCTGACCAGTGGAAGTGCTGGGGTGTGCCTGGAGGGACACCCCAGTAGGCAGGCTGTACAGGATCACAGGACAGGGCTCACAAGTCTGCTTTAGGGACAGCAGTAGTGCGCGAGGTGCAAAGGGCAGCCCAGGCAACTGGAACGGCGCTAGGTACACGTGTCTGGGGAAGGTATGTAATGACAGTAGGGTGGCAGGATGGGAAAAAAGAAAAAGATGGGGCTGGGAGGATGGAGGGCTACTTCTGAAGAACCTTGAAAGACAAAGGTCTCTGGTCCATAAACAAGAGGGTTTAACTGGCTGGGTCAGAAAGTCTTGCCACATTTCTTCTATTTGCTGCGGAGCAGACACCTGTGGCTGGTAGGATTTGGGAGTTTTGAAGGGTCTCCCCCTAGTCCCACCCCAGTTTCTTAAGGAGTCTACAGCAGGACCCTTAGTTCTGCCACCATCTCACCAGTTTCCAGCACTAGACCTGCTTCAGCTATGGCTCTGCCCATAAGAAGCCAGTGGTCACTGCCTAGCCACTCCAGAGAACCACAGGCCCCACTGCTACACAGCCATGTCCTAAAAATGCAGAGCGTGGCTGACTGCTCTGCTCCCACCTGATGCTACTTTTGTGCAACCTAAAGAGATCTACCCGGCTCCCTAAATCAGGGCTTGCACCTCCAGGCTGCTGGGATGAGTCCAGGCCCCACCCAGGCCCCCCTCACCCCCTTACCTGACACTGTTCTTGTGCAGTGAGTCTAGGCCTGCCCCGCTGGCCACGCCACCTTCAGAGCTCGCCTTCTTGTCCAGGTTCTGGAAGCGCTCACGGGCTGTCAAGCCGCGCTGCGAGCTTTGCTTGGGCACGTCCAGCCGCGCACCGAAGCTGAGCGTTCCCGCGGCGCCATCGTAGGTGAAAAGCACTGGGAAACAGTCGTGGCCCTGTGAGGAGAAGGGCGTGCTATTTATGCGTGCTAGCTGAGGGCAGGTGCAGTGCCCCTATTTTCCACAGCGGGAAACTGAGGCTGGAGGCAAGGTGTGAGGCAGAGGGGCATTCAGCCACGAGTCTGGCTTCCGGGAGGCTGGATGCTGGATTTGGGTGGAGCTATTGGGAAGCTGATGCCAGCTTGCAGACACATCCAGGTCTGACCTAGGTACAGGGACCAGATGTTGGGTGTGAGCACATAGGGGCAGCCCCTCCCCCAGCAAGGACAGCTTCTAGATGGGAAAGCTTGTCTGGGACTCCTCAGGGAGCCCAGGGGCCTTCTGTCCCGCTCAGCGATTACACCTGCTGTCTGGGAGAGTCTCCACAGCTGTAGCTTCTCTAGGCCAGGCAGCCTGATCCCTCTCTGGGATCCTCATTATGTTTGCTGAGAGGTGAAAAGGGACTTGACAGATAGGTGGGCAGGAGGGAGGGAGAGCAGTAGTGCCCTTCCAGACATATGGTAGAACTGCACTCCCCACACCCACCCACTCTGAGTTAGCTGTGGCCCTGTCATCTCCACTAGCCAGTAACAAGCAGGGATGTCAGGACCCAGGGCCTGATTTTCCACTTCCCCCTTCTTCTTCCAGGGCGCCTGGGAAGCATGTTGGCAACAAAGCCTCTTCCTGCATTTAGCAGAGCCCCCCTCACAACATCCATGCTGGACGTGTAAAATGAGCGAGAAAAAAGTTGCACTGTGTTAAGCCGCTGCAGTTGGGGACTTTTTTTGTTGCTGCAGCATAATCCAACTTATTCTGATCAATACAGATGGAAGGGAGGGAGGTGGGGGGACAAGTGGAGAGCTGCCTGGTCATCTCTGGGCTCACGGGGAGACCTGCTCTAATGGGCCACCGCTCCCCTCCTCCGTTCCTCCTTACCGCAGCCACCAGGCTGTTTTCTGTGATGAAGGTCAGGGCCAGCAGCGGCAGCGTTTCAGAGGCCAGAGTCGCGACGCTGAGTGAGAGAGAGATGTCAGCCACACTGGCCCCCTCCTGCTGTGCCTTGGTTGCCCCACCTCAGGTGGCCTGTACTCACGCCATCTTCTTGTCGGCGTCGGCCAGGCATACGGTACTGTCGTGGCTGACCCAAGCCACGCGGCTACCGCTGGCTGAGAAGCAGACGCCATGCACCCAGCCACAGCTACTGCTGGACTCAAACATCAGCTCCCCAAAGGGCATCTTGGAGCCCCATGGGGTGGGTGCCGGTCGCTCCTCCACCTCCTTGATGTAGGCTGAGAAGATACTGCCCAAAGAAGCGCAAAAAAAAAAAAGAAGTCACTGGGGGTCAGAGCACCTGGCTCATGGTACCACAGCCAGCTTTTCATGACCATCTTCACGCTCAGACAAGTCTGGGCCTCAGTGCCCTATTTGTGCAATGGTGTGGGGCCAGAAGGTCCCCAGCTCAGAGTCCTGTGAACTCCCAGGCCCTTGGCACCCTCACCTGAAGACTGACCATCCATAGGTGATGCAGACCTCACGGGGCGTCCTGGTCCTCAACATGCTGAACTCCACAGCCAGCCCCTAGCAGGCCCCTCCTTCCTTCTGCTCTACACCTTGAACAAATCCTGCCCCTCATCCTGCCAGCTCTACTCTGCACACTGCTGCTTTCACACACGTTAACCCTCTTCTCTCCATCCCAGGGCCAGCAAAGGGTCACCTGACAGATCAGGATGCCAACAAACCACTCCTCACCCACCAACAAAGCCTCATCAGGACGCCATCTTCCCTGTGCCTGGGGGCCTCCTAAGAGGCCTCCGATGCCTGCCATAGCCGTGTTTCCCAGATGGAGATTCAGACACCCAGGCCATTTGCCTGAAGCTGGGAGCTGGAGGCCTTGGGGGACTCTGGGGTGCTGAGCCTCAAAGTAAAAAACAGCCAATGGCTCCTAGAGACTCTACATTCCAGGCCTTAAGATAATGAGGCGGGCTTGTCCCAGCTTATCAGTCATTTATACCTTAGTGTGAAAAAGTACACCCACTCATTTTCCTTCAGACCGAAGCCAGGAGACAGAAGGGGTGGGGGGTCCTAGGAAGCGGGAGAGGATCTAGGACACCTTGCTGACATTAATAAGTGGGAAGGGGCACATCCTGCTAAGACCCTCCATGGGCTGAAGACAGGACCCAATGATGATCCTTTAAGGAGCAAAACCTCACAGATGCTCGACTGAGGCCCCAGGTCACCCTGCTGGCAGCAGAGCTGGTCTGCAAGGCAAGGTGTGAGGCTCTCAGGACGGGGCTCCCCTCAACTCTCTAATCCCTGTTCCCCGTGTTGATGTCAGGGCCCCACCCTCTCACCGGCACTTGAAGTCACAGGAGCCCGCAGCCAGAAGCACGTTGTTGGGGTGCCAGTCCAGGCTGAGGACGGTGGAGCGAATGGGCTTCTTGATGTGCTTGCATACCCACCTGGACACAGCAGTCAGACAGGTAGAGGGGAGAGAGGGACAGATAGGTGGGCAACCAACCCACCTACTTTATCACCTGGGGTCTCAGTGCCCCAGGGACCCCAGGCTCCAGCTGGGCCCTGCAGGCCACCGAGATCCCAGGAGAAAGGGGCCTGGGCATTGCCAGCCCATTGTCAGGGCCACGGCTCAGGCCAATAATGTGTGAGAACTCTACCCCCATCTCCTTTAAGCCTCACAACAATCCTGTTGGGATTTGAACTTGGGTCTCCCAGACTCCAGCCTGAGTTCCTGCCTGGGCTCTGCCCTCAGGAACCCAGGGGAGATGATGATGTGACTGGGAGCTTGTGAGTTGGTCCTGGAGTGTGACAGGCTGTGCGCCTTGGGTAAGTGACTTTGCCTCAGGGCCTTAATCTGCTCATCTGTGAAGTGGGGAAAACATGTCCAGTCCAGCGGGCTGTGGGGGGGTCAGTGCCAGTATGTGTGCAGGGCTTAATGCAGCGACCACAGAAGCGACACTGGTGTGCTCTGTAACCTTGTTAACCAGGGCTGTGGGTGCACCCAGTGCTTGGCAGGGAGCCCTGCACCTCACCTACGAGGTCCAGAGGACACACTTCCACAGGGCCGTGTGAAGAAGGGTCCCAACACCCCATCTGGTAATTTCAGGGACACTCTAGGCCAGCGGTTCTCAACCTTCCTAATGCCGTGACCCCTTAATACAATTCCTCATGTTGTGGTGACCCCCAATCATAAAATTATTTTTGTTGCTACTCTATAACTGTAATTTTGCTACTGTTATGAATCGTAATGTAAATATTTTTGTTTTCCGATGGTCTTAAGCGACCCCTGTGAAAGGGTCGTTCGACCCCCAAAGGGGTCACGACCCACAGGTTGAGAACCGCTGCTCTAGGCCCACTGCCTGTTGGTCTGCAGCCCCGGGTCCCTCCCAGCCCACTCAGGCTCTGCCCAGACACCAACCAGTCATTTTCCTGCTCAAAATAGCAGATGGAGATGACTCGGGAGCCGCTGCCCACAGCGAACTTGTTCTCATTGGGGGCCCAGCGCACACAGCGAGCAGCCCTGTTGATCCGCAGGATGACAAGCGTGGGCTTCCACGTGCGGCCCTTCAGTGTCCACACGTAGGCATTACGGTCTATGCCGCAGGTCACGATGCGGTTACTCTCAGGGGCCCAGTCAATGCCTGTGGCGTGGGGACGGGACACTAGCTTGAAGCCATCCAAGCAGAAGTGGCTAGCTCTATAAGCGTCCATGTAGGAGGGGCTCAGAGGCCATAATCTGGATGAAAGCTGCTCCAGGGAGCGCTCCTAGAGCTTACTGGGGATGTTATGGCTCCCCCAACTATCACCAAACAGGCTGGAAGGCCAAGCCAAGAGACAGAAAAGAAATGGGTCCTTGGTAATGCTGAGCTGCTGGATCAAGCCTTTCCTGAAGCCCCCAAATCTCTTAGTTTTACAGTAACATAAACCAATATAACCCTTTTATAATATAGGCCACTTTGAATAAGGGTTGTGTTACTCACAACGCAAACCATCCTACCAACAAGTGAGTGGGTGGATGGCCCTGGTGGGGCCTGCCCTCCCCTCCGCCTCCTTTCAGAAGGGTGATCCCAGCCAGCCTGACCCACCTGTCACCTGCCCGTTGTGCTCCTTGAGCTCGTGTACCTTGACCCACTTGGCCCCGCTCTTCTCGTAGATGTGCACCTCGTGGTTGTTGGGACAGATGGCAATCTCTGCAGGACAGACGGGCGGGGAGTGGGAGGCTGCAAGCGTGCCCAGGTCCCCCCTGCCCTCACAACCCCTCTCTACTAGGAATGCCCTTCACAGGCCACCTGGCAACACCTTGTCCTTCGATACTTGGACTTTCCTCCTCTGCCTCAGAGGGGCTCCCTGAAGGCCGTCAGGCCCCTCTTGTGATACCTCCCTAGGGACTGGCCACCCCTCACCTGTACCTCCCTGGACATCTCCAAAGCACTCTCGGGAGCTTCTCCCCATCCCCCACGACTGCCCCCTGCTCCCAACTCCAGCCACACTGTCCTTGCTGCCCAACCTCAGGCCCTCTTCACCTGCCCCCCCCACCCCCCGCCACCCCGCCTTTTAGTCTCTGTACAAATGTCACCTCCTCTGAAAGGCCGTCTCTGTCTGCACTGCTTTCCCTTGCCCAGTGTGTCGGTCTTCTAGCTCCTCTCACTACCTGCCATTGCAGGTTATGTCTTCGGTTCCCATCCCCAGCCTGGGAGCCCCTGTACCTACAGCCCAGCCTGCGCCAGGCTCTGCCCTCATCTCCACCACTCAATGCCCATTCGCCTGGCCGCCCCACTTGTCTCTGAGCTGCTCATCCCTTCCCTCCTAAACACCTAGAACCAAGGGTGCAGGGCCCACAGTCCATGTGTGCTTGGCTGCTTAAATGGCCATGTGTGCTCTGGGGGACAGCGGGCACTCACGCGTGCGGTCCTTGTTCCAGGCGTGGCAGCTGATGGGCTCCACCAGGAAGCTGTGGTAGGCCATGGCTTCTCAGCTTCTGTGCCCAAGAAGGGGAGAACCCCAGTCAGCCCTGCCTCTGCCCCAGAACCAGGCCCCGGCCCACCTCGCGGGAAGGCAGTGGGGGCCACCTTGCCTCCTGACTCAGGCTTGGCGCCTCAGGTTCCCTCCTCATAAAATGACAACTGTCGTGGGATATCTCTGAGGCTCCAGGGAACAAAGGTTGGAGTAAGGGGTGAGAAGTATGGGGGATGGGAGTGAAGCCACTGCCGTGAGTGGGGTGTGCTGGGACCCTGAGCCAGATAGGCCATCACCCATCATATGTACCTCCGTTTTCTCATAGGTGGAATGCCCCCACCTAGAAGGACAGGGTGAGGATGAGAAGAAACAATCTCATGAACCCAGAGTAGTGCCCTCCACACCCAGAGCCCTGGTCTTCCCCTTTCCTCGGGTGGGTGTGTAGGAGCCTGTGGGCTGGGGCGCAGCAGACAGAGATCCCATTCTCATCAAGAAAACTCATCTGCTGTTCCTGAGGCTGGGGGGATGGGCAAGAGTGGGCCTGGAGTGGCTGGTGGGGCCCCAGGGTGGCCTGGCTTTGGGGTGAAGGAGGATCCAGAGGGAAGCTGGGTGCCTGGAGGAGGGAGACTGGGCCCAGCACCGAAGGTGCAGCCCTGGCAGTGGTGGCGGCAGGAATTTGACCTCCCATCTGGGGAGGGGCTGGCACCTCCCCAAGCCCCAGCTCAGCCCAGCACACCCTCAGTCTCCTCCTCCCACCCAGCAGGGCTAACAGAGCTGCAGGGGAGCCCACTGGGCTGAGAAGGGGTGGGGCCCACACCTCGGTGGGTTACCCACAGCCTCCCTTTGCCTTCATCCCTCACCACACAGCTCTGCTTATTTCTGCCCTGGACTGGCTGGCTTCTCCCAGCAACAGCCCTCTCAGGCCACCCCCTCCCTCCAGGCTGTGCCTGTGGGGGTGCTCCCCCCTCCCCTTCTTCATGCTGAGCTTGCTGCCCTCGGCCATCTCTGTGCCTGGGAAACGCAGAACTCCTGGCCTTCGCGCATGCTATTCCCTCTGCAGGGAAGGCTGCTTCCTTGTGGAAGTGCCTTCAAGGCCATGTCTGTCCACATTTCATACCTGTGTGCTAGCTACTCTCTCCACTTCCCCCAATGCCCGCCCATGTTCTATTCCGCAATAAAGACAAAAGTGACATCACTTCCTCAACAGCCCAAGCTCAGGCGACACATGCTCATGAGTCTTCAGCTTTACACACACACACACACACACACACACACACACACACACACACTCTGCTGCTCCCACATGCACGTACTTCTTCAGCCTTGCATGCATGCAAGCACACTGCTCCCACCACCATGCAAGAGACTGCCTCCCCAGTCTCTCTCCTTATAAGGCCTCTCTGTGTAGGGCAAAGGCCAAGCTAGCAGGCCTGATGGGGACTTCCCCCAAGCTTCCGGTGCATCTGGGCTAGGCCAGTTCTGCTGAGGCAGGGTGTCATCACTGTCTATACCACAGATGACAAGACTCAGGATTGGGAGCACCAGGCCTGTCTGACTGCTAAGCTATGCTAATCTGTCCACCCCCATTTTCCAAGGTCACTAACAGGGCAGGGGCAGAGCTAAGACCTGAGCCCACTTCCAAACCCCTGGAGTCCAGCTGAGACAAACCACTCCTGACTCCTTTAATCCCAGGGGACCCAGAAAGAAAAAACCCTGTGGCTGCAGCCCAGGACAGGAGGGTCCCTGGACCCCAGGCTCAGAGCAGGTCAGCAGACAGAACCAACTTCCAAGCTCCACTGTCACAGATTTGCCGTGTGGCCGGCGTCTCTGCCTCTTGCACGTCTCGGTAAGAGCATCCAGACACTTGGACCAGGCTGTAAAAGCCTGTCTAGCTTAATGTTCCAGAGATGCAGGCTGTGAAGATGGAAAGGCTGGACTGGCCAAGGACAGTGGTCCCCATGCTAGCAAACCATGCAGCTAAGAGGACTTGGGAAACCCTGACCACTGTTTTCCGGGACTCAAAGGTTCTCCAGTGTCCAGTGGGAGAGGAAGGGGCTGGGAAAGATGGCTGCAGGAACAGTGGGACCAGAGGGGAGGGAGGTTCCAAAAATACTTCTTAGTCCACTGAACCAACACCTATCTTAAAGGGAGCAGTGGGTAAGGGTGAAGTTGAGTGGGGGAGGGGAAGATGCAGTTTCCTTTTATTCAGAAGTTCTGCAAAGCAACTGAAACCAGCAGGGCCCCAGCAATGATTCCCAACCCCCACATGCTACAAATGAGGAAGTTGGAGCCCAGAGAGGGGACGGGCTTCTCCAGCCACTGTTGGCCTCAGGGCTGTGTAGGCTCTTAGTTCAGGAATCATTGGATTGCCCCTGAGGTCAGATTCAGGGAAGCAGCCTTCACATGGCCACCTGCCTCGGGAACTCGACTTAAATCATTCCCAGGAAAACCTCTACCCTACCAAGAGGGGGAGGGGAGCTCACTATCAGCCAACCTCCCGCATAGGAAAATGCTGTCAGGGCTTTTTTGCCCAAGTGTGTTGACAATACAATGCCTCAGCGAAGGTTCCTGGTGGAGACAGAGGCAGGCTGAGGCTCTGGCCTCTGGGACACCCACCCACTTGTCACCGTGGCCGTGTGAGGCAGCACCCTGTAGGCCCATTTGATTGTTGAAGACAGAGGAGAGGGCCCTGAGGATGGCATTGGGACTTGGAGTTCACATCCAGTACTCAGTGCCCCCCATCACCCCTGAAACTGAGTGGGGCTGGGGGGGAGAGCATAGGCCAAACTCTGACAGGACTCCTATCCCTCTAGACTGGAGCCAGCATCTCTCTGTGGTCCCAGCAGCACTTTCCAGACCGGGGAAGCATCCATGGCTGGGGGTTTGAGGGTAGAGAAGAGCAGCACGGGGGTTAGGAGGGGGTGTAGATCTCCAAAGTGGGGTGTGGGTCTCCATCAAGGGGTGCCAAAGACCACCCACTGGGGTATGTATGTAAGCCCCATGGGACAGGGGTATTTGTTCACTGATGTATCCCCACCACCAATTAGAGTACTTGGCACATAGTAGGTGCTCAATAAATATTTCTTGAATGTGGTTGAATGAATGAATCACATCCTTTCTTTCATGTCTGTCTTAGGGAATGTTCTATAAGGGATATGCCATATTACTTCAGTGGCACACGGATGAAATTTGTAAATATTTACTGGGGAGCATGTTTTTGAGCATGGCTCAAATTTTTTTCCTGATAGGATCAGTGATTAGAAAATCCTGGAAACCTGCAATCTAGAGGGTCCTCTGAGGATTCAAGGAAAATATAGCTCCTCTCCACAGCAAAGCAAGCCAGGCAAAGCCTCAGGCGGCCTGGCCAAGGGTCTCATGCCTCAGCACTCCTTCCTTACAGTGCTGGGTTCAAATTCTGACTCTGTCCATACTGGCTGGGTGCCTTCATACAGTGCTTCCCTCACATCTCCATCCAGAAAAGGCTGGGGCTGGATAAGGCACTGGCTGTAGATTTTTTCTCGTACTTTCAGAGAAGCTTTGCCAGTCCTCTCCAGAGGTTTGGCTGTTATTTGAGGCTAATCCAGGCAGGAGCTGCCTGGAGCAAGGATCTCAGCTCAACAGGCACATGGGGAAGTCCCCACCCAGCTCAGTTTGGCTGGAGGGAGCTGTCAGAGAGCCATTTTGCTAAGCAGTTACTCAATTTCCTGTTGTATGTGAAACAGTCCTTGCCATCCCAAAAGAACAGCCAATCAATCCTTTCTCCCCAAATCTGCTCTTAAGGTCTTACAAAGCAGGCAAAGTCAAGAAACACAAATGAAAACAATTATAAGGCACCATAAAGCCCCAGTTAAAGTAACCCAAACAAACCAAAAACCAAAAACACATAAAACTCAATGCTGGCAGGGCTGTAGAGAAATTCTCATTTGTTGATAATTTGTTCAGCCTTTCTGAAGAGCCATGTGATAACGGCTCAACGACTGGGTAGGAACAAATGGAACAGAATAACAAGAACAGGAATTTAAGATTGTTAACACTCTGGTGGCATAAATTCATTTTTGTGCTAAGAAAATAGCCACTGACTTTTAAAAAAGCAAACATGTCCATAATAACCCTCTTTATAATGGTGACGGGGTAGAAAAATCCAGATGACTACAGATATGGAAAGGGTACACATGATATTAACACGTTGGGATACTATTTATTAGAAAAAGACCTATGTGGATTATATGCAAACACATATGTAATCAACTAATTTTACTTGGCATCTCTAAATGCCCAGAATTTACCCAGGACCTTGACATACATTCTTTTACCCCTAACGCAAGGCTAAGAAGTTTCTTGTGTTCTTTTTTTAACCTTTATTTGGTACAGAAGGAAACAGGCTCACACAAAAGCCAAGATTTGCTCAAAGTCACACAGCTCTTAAAAAAAAAGCACAGCAGACTCTGACCCCAAATCTCAGAGGTTAGTAGATTCACCTGGACAGGCACTTGGATAAATAGAGACAAACCTTATAATGGCAGTGACAATAGCAGCACACATTTATACTGTGTGTGCCTGGCATATTGCCAAGTTCCTTATACACATTATCATATTTATGCCTCACAACTTGAAAAAGTTCCCGATTTTCCAGATAAGGCAAGTATATTGAGGCCCAGAGAGGTTAGGTGGTTTGCTAAGATCATCGACCAGTAAAAGCAGAAGCTGGCACTCTCACCTACGTCCCTGAGACCTCACAGGTGATGGGTGCTCTTAAGCATCGGGCAGCACTGCGCCCAGCGCCCAGCGGGAGGAGCCTGGGGAGAGCCTGCAACTCGCCTGCTGCTTCACGCTAGTCATCACTGTATTACAGTTACTGCCCGCGGTCCCGGCCCCACCTCGCCCGGGTGTCCTGGCTGCTTTCCCCGCTGCCGCCGGCGAGGGAGGGGCTACTCGGATCGGATCCGCTCGGGTCCAGCTCAGCCCGTACAGGACCCCTCGGACCTGGCTCCCAGGGCCGTGAGGGGGCGACCGGGAGGACAGAGGGGCGAGGCGGGGGCGCCAGCTCATTTCCCGCTGGAGCAACCCGGAAGGCTGGAGGATGGAGGGGAAGTGACTGGGCGTGGGGCTCTCGCCGCCTGAAATAACGGGGGACACCGACCGTAGGGAAAAGTCCGGGAGATGGGGAAGCAGTGTAGGGGAGAGGGGGCGAAAAGCGGGCCGGGGATCCCGCCGCCCCGAGGGCGCCGGGTGCAAGGAAGGAGTCCTGCGTTGCCCACCCTTAGGCCGGCCTGCCGCCCGCACCCCGCTCACCTCCTGGAGAGTTTCCGCCCCGCGTACCCCCTCACTACTGGGTACCCCTTCACCTCCGGGCGCCCACACATCTCCTGGCAGGCTCTCTCCCGCCCCTCACCTTCAGGCGCCCCCTCCCCAAGCTCCTCTCATCCCCGTGTCTCCCCAAATTCCCCTCACCCCCAGGCAGACCCCCGGCCCTCCACCTCCGAGCCACCAAAGCCCCGCGCCCCCTCACCTCGGGGCGCCCCGGCCGCGGACTCTGGACAGTCGACGCGCCGAACCGGCTCTGGGACCCGCAGCCACTTCCTCGTGGGCGTGGGGCGGGGCTTCGCAGCCTCAGCCCCCAGGGGATGGGGGCGGGGACCAGGGACAGTCCGGAAACCCAAGGCCCCGCCCATCCTTCCGGGTTTCAGGGCTGCACGGACCCAGGGCGCTCAGAAATCATCCACGATCGCCCCTCACTACTTTATGAACGGGTAAATTGACGCTTAGAGAGGGGTGCGCAGCCTGAGCAGCAGCTGGCGAGAACCCGGAGCCTGGCAGTGTGCATGTCCCCCCTTTCCCACCGACAGCAAGCGAGCTCTACGTTCACACACTGGTGCTGGTGACCCAGCAACTTAGGGAACCTCTGCAGGCCTCGGTCCCCAAATCGCGGGGACCATCCCTTCCTTCACGAGCTGATACCTGCTGGGCGCCAAAAGTGCAGTACGGCGTCGACAAGGCAGCCAGTCCCCGTCCTCCCAACCCTCCCTGTCCTCGCTACAAAACCGTGGTGCTGGCCCTGGTCAGGAGTGCACACTAGCGTCTCAGCTGACTGGCTGGCCCAGCACGTTCTGTCTCAGCTGACTGGCTGGCCCAGCACGTTCTGTCTGTGCTGACTTCATGACCTTCGGTTCCACTGCAGACTGCTTCACTCCTTTGGTGTCTGGCAGCCATGCAGCCACCTGAATTTGGGTCTTGGCCCAGGTAGTCCCCCGGAGTCTTTCCATCTCTACTCTCTGCCTCATCAGTGGAGATGTGGCCAGGTGGCCTGGCACATGAAGAAACCCTGCACCCTCTCAATTCATCAGGCCCCTCTTCCTTAGACTGACTCATCTCACCCAAAGTCAGCCAGGCAGCAAGCAGGAAGCAGCAGGGGAGGGGTGGAAGAGGTCTTCAGGGTCTCAGGAGGTCCGTGGCTAGCTAGATTCACACCCTATCAGGTGTAGGGGCTGTGACAGGTGCTGTTCTTTCTGCCTAGAACACTTTTCCCACCCTGTCCTCACCTTGCCAACTTCAGTTTATCCTGCAGGGTGTGGCCGAGTATCTCAGATCACTTTGTCCCTGACCCCCTTCCCATTAGATGTGTCCACTGGATTCCCAACAAGGTCCTGTGCTCACCAGTTCCAGCTCCTATTGCACTGAATTTCACCCTTGCAGGGTGGTTGGGAGGATTAAATGTGTCCAAACATGGGGAGCACCTTCAGTAGCGAGCACTGAGTAGTACTCAGTAACTTTAGCTAAGATTTGTATGATCCTGAGCCTTCCTGGCTCTCAGGAAACAGTGAGGGGCTGTTACCCAGGTCCTTCCCTCTGGCCTTGGCACTTCTGGTGATGGCTTTAGTCTAACTAGAAAAGTTTCAGATGGTCTGTACTGGCAACCTCCTTCCTGTGGGGACAGGTGAAATTGTGAGGGACACCATGGAACACCTGTTGTGTCCATGGCTTCTGTTCCACCCCTCCACAGCTTTGTACATGCCCAAGGAATGACCCCAGGTGGGACTAAACCCCTCCTCTGGTGTCGGCCCTGAGTGCTCTAACCCAGTCAGTTCCTGGTGTGCCCTATCCTGGGCTTACAACCTCAGATGGCTAGATCAAAGCAAAGCCCAGGACTTTGGATGATAATGGAGGGGAAAGAAGCCCCTCTGAGTGAGCTGCATGAATCTGAACACGAAAGTTGAACAGTCACAAGGGAATCCAGATGACCCAGTTAAAGCTCAGATGGAGAGAATCCCAGAGAAATGACCAGAGCCCTGGCCAACCTCTAACTGACTGGTCAGCCTGCACTCAACCTGCCTCCAGAGGTTTCAGATACATGAGCCAAGGAATCTGGTATGAGTTTTTCTGATACTCATCACTGAAAGCATCCTAACAAATATGCACGCCTGAGGACTCCCTTTTCCTCACTGGGAAAACTGAACTGAAGCAGCCTGATTGGATGAAAAGATGACTCCTAAGCTTAGTGCGAGCAGAAACCGTGTTTGTATCGCTCACTCTACTCTCCCCACCCAGAATGGCGCCTGGCACATAGGAGGCACTGCATGCGCATCTGTTGAATGATGAATGAATGAACGTACAAATTCGAAAACGGAATCCAATCCTGGATCTGCCACTTCACCAGTGTAACTTCAGGCAAGTCACTCTCCTTTAGCGCTTTACAGATGGTTTCTCCACCTGTAAAGTGAGGCTGACTCCTAACAAGCACTGCTATCCTCTCACAGGCTTGCAGTCCACTATGGGAAGGAACCCAACAGATGGGAAAGCACAGCTCACACTGGGGATTGACAGGGGTGTTATCTGAAATAGCTCCCTCGGGGGACAAAGTTTTCTAAGCCTAAGTGAAGCTGCTCCTTGGGCAAGGGGAGCCTGGGGGTGGAAGAATTTCATTTGGAGCTGAGAACTTGAGCTTTGTGTTTCTTCCTGGAATCTGCCTCCCCCTGCGGTCCTTTCTTTTTCCCCTTCTCAGGTATCTGAGAAATGCAGCCACACACCCAGGCTTCGGAGTTGGCCAGCTTGGAGGAGGGCCGTCAGTTGGGTCATCAGGATTCTGGGGCTTTCTGCTCCTTTCTGCTCACCGCACTGGCCTTACTGCCTCTTGGTCACAAGAGGGCAGCCAAGCTCCAGACATCTGGACTCTGTACACTGTGGGCTAGCCAAGGCAGTGGACACCAGGGTTGATAATGAGCTCAGCATGACTTCCTTCTGTCTCAGCATGTCCACCCCCAATGGGGACCATGGAGCTTTTCCCTTGAGGTCAAGGGACTGCGCCCACCCTGATCCCTGGGAGCAGGAAGAGAGGGGAAACCTTGTGCCTTCTTCCCCAGGCCACACATACCGTACGTGTGAGGTGTCCAAAGTCCAGGAGGGCAGATGTCCACCGTGGCTGAGGCCCAGAACACTCAGCATTCCACACCCCGGCCCTGCTCCCGGGGCAGGCCTCCTGATGGGGGGGGGGTCCCCTTGTGGCACACCCACTTCCAAGTCACACGGCTTTATGAGAAACTTGGGTGTACAATGAAACTTCACAACGTACAGAGGGTCCCCTCCCATCAGTTCCAATGACATCCCGAGCTTGGGAGAAATAAACTGGGCTCGGTCACTACAGCACCTCCACTCCCGCCCTCGTCCAGTAGGAGCACGCTTAACAGTTACCACTGAGCTCTGGAGATTGTCATGGTTCCAACATAGACTGTCACCCACCTCTGGACTTGAGTTTTGTCATCTTAAAAATGAGGCAATTGGGTAGGCCGAGTGGTGTGTTGGTTAAGAGTTGGCTTGGGAGTGGGACACCAGCTCTGAGCAGCAGGGCCCTGGTTTGGTTCCCATATGAGGGCCAGTGACGCTGTGCCCTCTACAGCTAAGATGGTGAACAACAGCTCGACCTGGAGCTGGGCTGCCGTGAGTAGCTGGCGATGGTGTAGGCTGCAGTGGGTCTGGTTGGCAGCGGGCGTCAGCTCTCATGAGCTGCCACCCAGGAAGAGCGCAATGATAATACCAACATGGGCCAGTAAAGTGACATCCTCCACAACTAGACTGAAGAACAAAAGGACAGCAACTTGTCTGTTCCCCTTCCCCAATTCCCCAGCGCTGTTCTCCTCCGCCAATTCCCCAATAAAATCTTAAAAAAAAAAAATGAGGCAATAACAGTTCCCACACTATAGGGTTGTTGTAGGCAGTTAATGCCTATCAAGTGCTTCCTTTGGTGCCTGGCAGTTAGGGATTCTTATGGTAATGTAGCAAGTTGAGGCTAAAACACCTCCCTTCATGAACCCAATGGTCTTCAAACTTTTTTGCTTACCACCCACAGTGATATATTGTGACCTGGTACAACCCCACGTGTCATCTGAAACAATACTCTTATTACATGCATTTTTTTTTCGTTTCATTTTTTAAAATGCCAATCATAACCTACTAAATTGATTTTTACAACCACTAATAGGCTCTGACAGTCAGTGTGAAAAATGCTGCTCTCTAGACTATGCTTCCTTCCCATCTCTGAACTGACCTCAGGTTTGTTTCCTATTGCTGCTGTAGCAATTTCCACAAACAGGGTGGATGCAAACAACACAAATGGATTCTATTACAGTTCTGGAGTTCAGGAGTCCACAGCCAGCTGCAGTGGGCAGGCAACAGGGGGAGCTTGTTTCCTTGTCGTTCCTGTTTTTTTTTTTTTTTTTT